CCTCTTCTTCCCCACCTGCAGGGAACTGTTCTGTGACATGGGGGAGGTTACCTGAGCTGGATTCTGCCTCTTGTACTGCAGCAGCTCCTGCAGGTGAATCTGGAAGGTGAGCCAGCTCTCAGCCAGGTATCTGCACAACTCGGGCACACTCAGCAGGTGCGGCCGGGCGCCTGACCCCGCACCCTCACTGGGGAGACATGACATGACCCCTGGAGGCCTCAGACACCAGTTTCCTAAGCACTTATATCCCTCTGAGAATGTCAACGAGATCGTCAGTCTAAGGAAATGGATAACCCTACCTCCCAAAGGGAGGCTGTCCTAGTCCAGGGAAGCAAAGCCCAGAGCTCCCAACCCTGTGCCCCCAAAGGAGAAGGCACACAAACACCTGCACAGGAACCTAGAACCAAGCTAATTGTCAGTCCATTCGCTATGCACTATGCTGGGGTCTGTGCCTACAGAAGCTGCAGTGCTGCCCGGCACTTTGCAAAGCAAGACAACATGTGGGCATCTGTCTTCAAGAGGCGGCCTGCACTCACCTGTCAGAGTGTGGCTCCTCTGGGGATGATGCTATAGAGAGAGGAGGGGACAAGTTACTGAGGGGAAGGGGCTCTGGGAGGCGCTCCCCCAGGCGTCGGGGCCCAGAGGCCTGCCGCCAGAGGCCAACTGCAGGGAGCATGATGGGGGACCGTTTGTATGCATCTCCTGTTTTAGACCTGGCCCTTTTCAAACACAGGAACTAAGCTTATTCATGCCCACATCCCGAGCAACTGGCACGCAGCCTGGCACCTAGTTACTCCAAAAAGCCTATGAAGTCAATGTGTGAGTTACACACGCACGTACCACACACAGAACGGTGAGGGCCAGCACGCATATAACTCCTATCACATAGGAAACCTCACGATGAAGTAAGTTCGATCATCCCTGCTTGACAAATGAGGAAACGGAGGCAAACAGAGACAGGGTGGCTTTGACGAGCCCGCACACACGGTAAGGGGCTGAGCAGACCATGGAACCCAGGCAATCGGGCCGCAGAGACCACAATCGGGGCCACAGTCACAGGAACACCCATTCCGAGACAGGGGCCGTTCCTAACGGGGAGGGCGGGGGGACGGGGAGGCAGGGGGCCTGCTGTCCACCCCCCTCACCACGCACCCCACCCGCAAAGCTAACTGCAGGAAGTGACACTCACCTGCCATGTCAGGGAGGAAGCGAGGCTGCCAGAGATCCAGCAGAAAGTAGGCCAAAAGCGAGACGCAGAGGAGGAAGATGGGTCGGAGGGACGACGAAGACAGCAACCTTCGGGAGAGACAGGCGCCTCATTGGTGGAGGGGCGAGCGCGGCCCCCGCAGCCATCGCCAAGGGCGGGCACGGGAGCCTCAGGGCCTGAC